GACAATGCTGGCAACATCAAAATATTAGCAGAATATATAACTTAGCTAAAAGTAGGATTATGCTGGATTAAGGTTTAATAAGGATCATATATAGTGTTACATAACAAACATCGATTTTCTTATTCTTTCTCAGTAAAATCGAAATTTGATTTCAATGATGTCAGTGTTCTTAAAGCTGTGTCATTCTTACACACATCAAGATTAATCTGTAATTCGTCTTAATCTACAATAATATTAATCATTTCAAATCTTTTTGGCTTCTCATACGAAAGGAAATTATAGTTTTCAAGTTTGTAGCGAGAAAAGTGATTATGGGGGAGTTGACGACATCGACAAGCAGCAACACAAACGTCGTTACACAAAATGTAACGAGCAGGACAAAATCCTTGCACGTGCGTTGTACATTAGCTTCGTTCATTTACAAGCCGTTCTCTATAAAAATAACAACTTAAAATTCTTTTTTACGTTCTCCAGTGGAAAAAGTAAATCTGGACAGAAATAAACTTTATCTGTTTTCATTTGGACATGACTGTTTTCTTCACATATTCAGCTATAAGATACATAAGGAGGCAAACTTAATTTGGCTTTATAAATATTAATTCATGCGTTTTAACCTCGACATTTTACGGAGCCGATAATTTTCATATAAGTTCTCCGGAAAGTGACGTTGAACTTCAAATAGATAATAGTCTGCAAGCAGGTTGAATAAAACCTTGTCGTCGTTAAACGTGACCAAAATTTGCTACCTAAGGCCTAGAATGATAAGGGTGCCCTTTTTAAAAGTTCGAAAATTACAGATAAAGTCTTTATGCTTCTTACAGTATTTTTCTCTTATGGTATGCCAAGATTTAGCTCAAACATAAATGCGTTGACCTGGGTAATTTGGAACATCAACTCGTCAAGTTTCGTGAGATATCTCACGTGTTTGGGGCCGCCCTGACGCCGAGTTTACTGACCCAAACCCACAATATGATTGACGACGTCAACATTTCCTCAACTGAAACAATTCAATAATTAAAGTAGAGCGCGAAGTGTAGTTTTTTCCCTCACATTTTGCACGCAAAAAGAAAATTCTTGGTTACTTCTAAGTGACCGAATAATTGATGCTCAGTGACTTAGCTTCGGGTCTCTGGAAGAAAAAAGCGAAAGTAAGCTAATAATTTGGGGAAGACGAAGATTAATGGAGGGAGAATGAAACTCGTTCACTTTTGATCTCTTTAATTTAAAGATCGCCTCGAGTCACAAATTCATTAAAAGCAGATTTCATTAAAAAGACAACAATCAGTTCTGGCAAATTAAAACAAGCAGGATGTTTCTTGTTCATTGCGATCTTTACCGATAGAAAGGATCATAAGGTTTTAACATTACGGAACAAACAACATTAGCAGATCACCCACGTGCATGCATGGTGCATAGATAAAGAATGGAAATAATTTAGCAAGGAGTGGCCTAGGATATTTGTGAACTCGGTGTGTTTTGTTACTTGTACTGCATGTTTCCTCTTCGGGTTTTCCACTTTAAGAGCCATACCGACCATTATAGATGGAAATTTCGATAGAGTTGTCGGGTTCCTGTACAAACTAGAGTTAATGATGATTTTATCACGAGAGATCTTTCCACCAAATCAGATCCACCGCAATTTGTTATCAATCAGGAACGGCCTTAGTGAGAACCTCACGAAATTTGTTTTCACGAAAATTGTTTGCCGTAGCCTCAAATTCGAAGTATTTTGCGTCAAATAGCTGCACTTAATGAACTTTTGTTGGTTGGAGAAATCAGTTCATTGCCAGTTGCTGTGGCGTTCAATAGCTTGGGATTATAGAAAGTGTGTGAAGGACTTACAGAAAGGACAATTTTAATGTTGGACTTAAGAGATGGGGTACGTAAAGTGCGTGCATTTTGATCACGTTTCTGTGAGGTACAGAAAACCGTGACTGTCGGGCTGTCTAGAACAACTAAAGCAAACCACAACGGCAACGGAAAAGAGATTCGGATCGCTAAAAAAAGGTTAAAAATAAACACTACAATGTCTCTACACGTGTGGTAGTACATTATGTAACGTTTGCCAATTAACAAAGTCAAATGTCTAAATTCCGTGGCATGGTTCTATCCTCGTGTACCGGTAAATGAGAACCATTTAATACAGCGAACCGATGACTCCTAAAGAAAGAAAATACAGTTGTTATTTTGTTTTGTACCGGTACTGACACCAGGACACAACCCAATTCAGCGTTTTTGGCCCAGAGCTGCTTGAACACCACGACAAAGTTTCAGTTGTTTCTTGGAATCTTCCAGAGACACTGCTGGACTTAAGCAATAGAGCACTTTTTCCGTATTTACATAACCTCATCAAAACACGAGGGGGGATTCGGAGAATCGAGACAGTTATGCAAACCCGAGAGGAAGTCGAGGGTAACTTCTCCGAGCCCCCCAAGTGTTTAGACGAGGTTATGTAAACACGGAAAAAGTTCTCCATTCCTCTTTAGAAAATATTCTCAAGAATACGCGCGGAATCTAAAACGTCACAACCATGTTTACATAATCTCATCTTAACGCACCTATCGACCAATGGGCGCGCGCGCAGTATCTCAGTTATTTCATAAACACAGATAGCTCTGACCTGCTATCTTGAAATATCTTTGTAGGAGCTGAGGTTCACGTTACGTAATTAGAAATTAATTATTATTAGTTATGGTTATGCTTTGTGGTAGACGTTTTTTTTTTGTAATCAATTCTGCCTGCACGTCAAGTTGGTGGTCTTTGCGAACTCCGCCGCAGGTCAGACCGCCAGCAGCAGCAGGTCAGACCGCCATCTCTTAAAATCGCCCAAGTTTCTTTCCGGAAAATCTCAAAAAAAAATTGTAAATATCACGAATTTTTTTTCTAAATATCTCTATTTAAAAAGAAATACGTAAATAAACTGATTTGAAATCACTTAGGCAAAAGAATGATTTTCAAAAGCATTTTACAGTAGTAGGAGTTGAGGAAGAAAACGCTACAAGGATTAGACCCATTGGAAATTTGCTGCTTTAGCGCTTTTGGTGATATGGAATATATTTTTCCCTCAAGTGGGGATTCGCTGAACTGCATTGTTTGTGGTATAAAACTGAGCATTGCTTCAAGAAAATAATGAGAAAAACAACGGCTAAGCCCCAAAAAAAAAGCTATTAATATTTTTAAATATCACAAAATTTTCTAAATATCTTAATATTTTTTAAATTTCTCGGAAACTTCTAAACATCTCAAAAAAAAAATCCAGATATTGATGGAAAAGCCTACAGAAGATTACACTGAGAACCCCGGTAACTCGAACTAGGATAACTGGAACTCCCCCGCTAACTCGAAGTGAGTCTCAATTCCCTTGGATTTGACCCAACTTTTCAGTAATTTTTACTCGGCTAACTCGAACTCGGATAACTCGAAAACCTCGCTAACGCGAACTAAATTGCGTTTCCCTTGATCAAAATTTACCCCGATAACTCGAATTTCTGGTTCTTATAACTCGCCACGGATGCCCATTGAGATATCCCATTAGCTTTTGTTATCGTGTGATCGAATTCTAACACTAGAACAAAGCCTGGAGCAATTTGATTTTAATTAGTGCAACGAACAGATCACGTATTTGACAGTTATTTACCGATCATAAGAGTCATACCGGATGCGATGTTACAGTTATTACAAAATGTATTAGTTTCTCGTGAAATAAGTTTAATTTGCAGTGTACTGTATACCGAAGTGCTGAAAATCAATAAACTATTAATTATTAACCTGGAAAATTGAATTATTTTAATCGACCCGATAACTCGAAACCCCGCTAACTCGAACAGTTTTTCGTTTCCCTTCTGAGTTCGAGTTACCGGGGTTCTACTGTATCAGTTGCTCATGACCTGTCTTTTTTTCACAGTTATGGCTGCTCCTTACAATAGGCCTGTCTGTGATATCGTTTAGATCAGCGGAAGGAGCGACCACGTTTTCCTTTCTCAGAAAAAAGCCCGACCGGGACTGTCAGCCCGTCAAACGTGATTTACTGAGGCAGCAGCTCGGCAGCGCGTACAATCAACGTTACATGGCCATGGACGACGAAGATCTTTACTACAAAACCAACCAATCACCGCTCCGGGATCAAGACCACGTGACCAGACGGAACATAACCAAGAGATCAAGCACAATCAACATCAATCAGATCACCGACCCAACCCCCTGGACGTGTCAGACGAGTACAACCTGGCAAGACTTGGGCCAGGGATTTTTCCCTCGTCACGTAAGGGCGGTCACGTGCTCGAATGACAAGTGTTGGTTTGGACATTTTCAATGTCGGCCGAAGTTGTATAAAATCAAAGTGTTGAAGAAGAAGATGGGCGTTTGTTTAGAAGTGTCCACCAGCTCGGGGAGCCCTCGTTGGCAGGACTTTTGGGAAGAAGATGAAAAAGATATACCTGTGGACTGCGAGTGTGGCCATTAATGATGAGTTGTAGATACTAAATTAACTTATACTGTTTGTGAATTGATAAATTATTAAACATTTTATTGAACTCATTCAAATGTGCTGGCATTAAGATCGACAGTAACAACTTCGTGTACCTCTAGCGACCCTGGTAAATCTCTCGCCAAAGTAACGGCCTTCTGATTCTACCAGCCCTCAAACGTAACTTGACTTGTTATGAATAACTCAATGAAAATAGCAGTTACAAGCTGTTTTATCAGGCAAAGCTAACAGACTTCTTAAAAAATCACTTTCGGTTTTTCTTTTCTCCTTTTTTTTTTTT